AACTAAAGGAATTCTGAAAAAGTCCATTGATTGTTTTTTTTTTACCCTTTACTCACATTTAATAAGTGCTAATAGTGGTGAAAACTTAAAATATAGCCAAAAATAGTCTGTTAACTTAACTTATGCTTCCAAATAACTGACTGTAAATAGTTGCTATGGTAACCACCCTGGGAAGATAGTCACACATTTAGCACGATCATAAAGGTACACACGTTGAGTAGTGATACCTCCAAATCTAAAACCCGTCAAATTGACTGCTCTGGGACTTCTGATGTTAATAAAATCAACATCAACGGTGAAGCTGACTCGGAGGAGGGTGCGGCTCAAGATGACCCCTTTCTGTGTGGAGTTTGCATGTTCTCTCTGTGTCTTCTGTCTCGGTTTCTTCCTGATGCTAAAAAAATGTCTGCCACTAAAAACAATGTATAATCGGTGAGAACATTCAATGGTGTTCGGCGTCTTGCTTTTGTCGTCGCTGTGTTGTGAAGGGAATTGTAAAGTCTTCTGTGTGACCTTGGTTTGTGAGATGTGCTACAGTATGTAAATTGTTGCAACCCTAAACATGGCTCTGAGAAGCCGAAAGGAATGTTACAACTTAGGCCCTGTCCACACGAAGTCAAGCTCAGGCCTAAACGCAAAAATACTTTATCAATCCAGTGTATCGTCCATACGAGGCCGGCGTTTTGGGGGGGTGTAAACGAACATTTTTGAAACTAGGTCCCAGAGTGGAAAGATTTCAAAACTCCGTATATGCCGCTCCGTGGTTACTGCCTCTCCGCAATGTATCTGAGACGCTTGCGTCATCGCCCCGCCTCTTGTTAAAGCACGCATGCGCCGCACTCAGAAAATAATGACAACAACAATGTAGCTTGTTGGTTTTGTAATCCAGCGTGACCCGAAGCAACAGTTCAACCTCATCGTCCGTCCATACTAATGTAGTACCAGCTCGCCCACTCGCCATGTTGTCTGTTTACAAAATTCCGCGCATGCCCACGGAAGTTTGGGCTTGATCCCGTCATTGCGTCACAGCGCCACCAACAGGTCTGGCATAGTTTCACAGCGTTTTCAGGCGTATTGACTACATTCATATGGACGCACACATTTACTGAGCTAACTCCGTGTTTACAGAAAAAGTTTCTGAAATTATAAGCGTTTTGTCTTCGTGTGGATATAGCCTTATTCACCCTCGATGTGTGAAGGAGAGGTTCCGCAGGTCTTTCCTTCCTGCTGCTGTCAGACTGTACAACAAACAATAAGGACTGACTCCAACCTGTTTCCATGTGTCATACATTGTTGTTGCAATATTTTTATTTTATACCAGTGCAATATCCTTATCTTATACCAGTGCAATATCCTTATCTTATACCAGTGCAATATCCTTATCTTATACCAGTGCAATATCCTTATCTTATACCAGTGCAATATCCTTATCTTATACCAGTGCAATATCCTTATCTTGTACCAGTGCAATATCCTTATCTTGTACCAGTGCAATATCCTTATCTTGTACCAGTGCAATATCCTTATCTTATACCAGTGCAATATCCTTATCTTATACCAGTGCAATATCCTTATCTCATACCAGAATGTGCAATATCCTTATCTCATACCAGAATGTGCAATATCCTTATCTCATACCAGAATGTGCAATATCCTTATCTCATACCAGAATGTGCAATATCCTTATCTTATACCAGAATGTGCAATATCCTTCTTATACCAGTGCAATATACTGCTGCTTATGTACAGATGTAGACATACTACTGATAATGTACAGATGTAAACATACTGCTGCTAATGTACAGATGTAAACATACTGCTGCTAATGTACAGATGTAAACATACTGCTGCTAATGTACAGATGTAAACATACTGCTGCTAATGTACAGATGTAAACATATAACCACACTTTACTAACACTAGAATACACAGTACTTTATACTTTGTAAATAATGTTACATTTTTACATTTATTATTATTTTCAAGATAACAATTTTTCTAGAGATTTATACTTATTATTTAAGCTAGAGTTTGTTTTATTTTAATTAGTATAGCTATTGTTCAGGTAACGTGTGCTGTGTGCTCCTCTTTCCTACTGTTCTATAACTTGTGATGCAACACTGAAATTTCCCCACTGTGGGACGAATAAAGGATCTCTTAATCTCTTAATCTTAAATGAAATTACCTGTTATTTTTAGGACAGAAAAGGGTAACGCAGAAAATGTATTTTCCAAAACTTAAGAGTCAAAAAGGAACTAAAGAATACTCACTCACTCAATGACTTCCTTACCAATCAGTGAACATGATTGACTTTTATAATAATAACTGATTATTATGGACTGATTCCAAATGTTCATAAACCAACTTCAAACGAGACTTTCATTAAGAAATGTCAATTTGAATCAGACCCTGGACAGGAAAAAATGTCCAAGATGAAGACGAGAGAAAAATGAATGGCTGCCTGGAAGGGATAAACTTCATTGAAAAAGCGCCGTGAAACCCAGCAGTAAGGGACATAAAATATTCTAATTAGTCTTGCATGCAGCTATTGACAAGTTTTCAGCCGATGGGAAGGTTTCTAATAAGTCTGTCTCTAATTAGAAACAGGATTAGACAGAAAGGATAAAGCGCTCGCCTGCTTCTGTGTGCTCAGACTTTTATTAGCTCTGCTGTGATCCTGCATCATGTCTGCAGACAGATCGGAACAATGATGGATTATAAAAGATTCTGAAGACAAGGGTTGCAGCTGGGACGGCTAATACCTGCAAACAAGAACTATGACTAATACATGTGTGTTTAAATGTGCAGAAGATGAAAGGGCGGGAAGACAAAGAAGTTTTCTAACAACTTCATGAGGTGATGTTCAGGCGGGAGGTAATTTGACTTTTAGGTAGCACCATAGACTGTAAATATTAATGGACGTAGTGAAATGTGGAGAAACGCATTTGTGCATACTGTACGTTAGCCAGCACGAGCCCCAATCATTTAACCAGTGCCTTCGTAGAGCCAAGAGGCGACTTTTGGACCATCCTGTAAAGCTATTTTAAAGAGGAAATAAGGCGTCGCAAGAATTCAGTGGATAATTCTGTTTCCGGGTACGCCACCACCTGCAAGAAGCCAGATTACAATCATGTCGGAGTACGTGCTCACAGACCCTTTTGAGCCGGGACCCGCCCCCACTTGCTAGCACTCTCGCTTCTCATCAAGATGGTCCTGGATTCGATTCCAAATCCAGTCGGGTCTTTTCTGAGTGGAGTTTGTGTGCTCTCTGTGTAGTGCGTCTGTTCAGGTTTCCTCCAGGTTTTCCGGTTTCCGCTACAAAACAGACAAATAGCTCACCTCTCTCTGGGGCCATCCCCTGAAATATAGTTAATAATCTGAGTGGGTTTTTCTTGGTTAAATAAAAGTCAATAAACAAATACATTTGGTAATAGTGGTTTAGTCAATTAATCAGTTAATTAGTCAACCATTTTTAATAGTTGATTATATAATTAATATTTAATCAATGAACCAAATCATAAAGATGTTGGTTTTCACAAATTATCAAGTCAGATGAAATTGAGGTCTTGTGTGCACGGTTTAGGGAAGATGCGTAAAAGTTCTGAAAGTTCTTGCTTTTGCCCCTTTTTTGGTTGACTAATTGATTGACATAGCATACCCTTTCAACGCTATATATGGATAAGTATACTGAGCATTATAAAGCACATAACAGGGCAATTGATGGAGCAGCAGCCATCTTCCTGTGAACCCATCAACTGCCGGGGGATCAGCGAAGGGACTGGTGCTAGAGCATAGGGTGGCAGCTCTGATTGCCACCCCCCTCCTCCCCCGACCCAGAAATTGACTAATAAAGGGGCTGAAAATGAATGAATAACAGCGCAATTGGACTGTTGGTCATCTCTTATAAATGTGGTTGATAAATCGGTCATCTCTTGACACAGACGCCTGTTGAGGAAGAGTGACTCGGTCCCAGCAGCTGTTTTGGCTCGTGGCCTAATCCTGGGCTCCATGTTCAGATCCTGGGTTTCATTAGCAGTCAGTGTTAAGTCTCATTTGGCCAAACGCCTCGGGGTACAATCAGACACTGGCTATGTGCTCTCACAGTGCGCTGCCATCTGTCCTTGCAGAAAATCAGGTGCCCAGCGCTTTTCCACTTGGCTCCCAGCTCTAAGTCTGTTCCCTGGCCTGCGTCTCTCTCCAAGGCCACGTTCTGCTTAAATGAGTCAAACTGAACTAACGAGGATCCGAGCGCCACGGTGCAAGTTTAAAAATGTACGGTTGTTGCTGCTGCTTTCTAAAGATGCAGCACACTAATTAAGTAAGGAAGTAAGTAGGCAAGCAAGTTGGTATGTAGGAAGGTAGGTATGTAAGTAGGTAATTAGGCATTTAGGTAGGTAGGTAAGAAAGTAAGTGGGTAATTAGGTAAGTAGATAAGTAAGTAAGAAGGAGATGACTAAGTAGGTAAGTAGACAGGTAAGTAAGTAAGTAGGTGGGTAGGTAGGTGAGCAAGTTAGTAGGTAACTAAGGCCCTGTCCACACAAAGTCAAGCTCAGGCCTAAACGCAAAAATACTTTATCAATCCAGTGTATCGTCCATACGAGGCCGGCGTTTTGGGGGGGTGTAAACGAACATTTTTGAAAGTAGGTCCCAGAGTGGAAAGATTTCAAAACTCCGTATATGCCGCTCCGTGGTTACTGCCTCTCCGCAATGTATCTGAGACGCTTGCGTCATCGCCCCGCCTCTTGTTAAAGCACGCATGCGCCGCACTCAGAAAATAATGACACTTTCTTGTAGCTTGTTGGTTTTGTAATCCAGTGTGACCCGAAGCAACAGTTCAACCTCATCGTCCGTCCATACTAATGTAGTACGGTACATAATGGAAAGATGGCGGCAGAGTGAGTGAGGGAGAGAAAAGGCTCCAGTCAATTTGTCTCCTAATATTCACCCTAACCCTCTCAAACTGAACCGCACTGACAGAACTTGAAATCATATCCGCAAACATGCCAAAGCCAACAAAAAGACCAACACGGAATGATCCCGATTCAGCAGAAGACGACATAGACCCGACTCCAGCTACCAGTGGCTATGCAAATGCTGCCCGGGAGGCTAGTGCTAACGCGAGCTTCCCCGCAAAAACAGGCCTAATCGCTAACTCTTCGGAGCTATCAACTGAGGCTCTGCTACAGAGGATTTCCATGGCTGTTGCAGAGGAGGGACAGCGCACTCAACAATCTTTGTTAGAGTCCTTCAACAAGTTCGAGGCCACGGTGGATGCAAAGCTAAACAGCATAATGACGCGCATTGACGCCGTGGTAGCCACCACCGACGCACTCAGCGTCCGAGTGACCGAATCAGAAGCACGCATTTCTGGGCTTGAAGACGGCATTGCACCGCTAAAAAAGCGCTTGGATGTAATGGAGCAATGCAATAAGGCTTTAGCAGACAAGGTACTGGACTTGGAAGGTCGATCTAGACGGGACAACATCAGAATATTAAACCTGAAAGAGGCCACTGAAGGAAGCGACCTAACTATATTCTTGGAAGGATTTATTCCCAAACTTTTGAAATTACCCGTCACTTCGGTGCCCATCGATCGTGCCCATCGGGGCTTTGGGGTACCTGGAGATGGACGTCCGCGCCCGATCATCATCAAACTCCAGCGTTCGCGTGATGTCAGGGTGATCATGACTGCGGCAAAGCGACAAGGGGCCATACAACACGATGGATCCAGCCTGAGGATCGTGCCAGATGTTCCACCAAGCGTCAGGATGGCCAGGAGAGCGTTTAATGCGGTGTGCTCGGACCTTATTAAGAAAAACATACGCTTTCTGATGGCATACCCTGCGGTTCTGTCCTTCACCACCGACGGCATCAAAAAGACATTTAGAGATCCAAATGAGGCTGCAGCTTTTTTGAACATAAACATTGGATCATAATATGTTTACTATTTCTTCGGGAAATGGTGTCCGGTGAGTGACTATTATTCTCTGTGCCAATAATAATATAATTTGTTTGCTTAAGCTGGTGGCACATGATGAATCTGAGACTCGGGGGTTGGCTTTCAATCACTGTGGGAATAAAGTAGAGACATTTTTTTCTGACAAACCTAAATTGAGTCTATGGCCATTTTATCTTCATTTCCATTATTATTACCGTTATTATGTATTATTATTCCTGCATGTGTGTGTGTATGTGTGTGTGAGCGCTTGGGTGTGTGTGTGTGTGTGTGTGTATGTATGTGTGTGTGCGTGCGTTGTATATGTTCGCAGAGATCAGTGGAAACAAAATTACTATTGTACACACATGGTGTCACCATGACCTCAGATCACTTTGGGTATGATTGACATGCATCGTACTAATGAAGGTGACGAGCAAGAGCACCAATACACAGAAGTACAAAATTGTGAATATTACAAACCAGAAGATCTATTAAATATCAAAAGTGACTTCACATTCTCATTGATGCATCTTAATATTAGAAGCATTAAAAAACATCACGATGACCTCGTTTCACTGCTTGCAAGCATAGGTCACAAATTTGATGTAATAGGTTGAAGTGAAACTTGGTTAAATGAACTCTCATATGTAGACATTTTCAACTTAGATGGATATACTATGTTTTACAAAAATAGAACCGGAAAAAGCGGTGGAGGGGTGTGCCTTTATGTAAGCTCCCAATACTCTGTTAATGAACTCACATATCTAAACCTGCATGATGGTTTCTCAGATTCACTTTTCTTAGAAATTACACCCAAAAATGCCAAAAGTATCATTATTGGTGTAATCTATCGCCCACCCGACTCAAATTATAACTCGTTCAGAGACCAATTTGAAAATCCTAAGTACTATCAGCCAAAGGAACAAAAACTGTATTATAATGGGGGACTTTAATGTTGACACATCTGAAGAAGGGAAACACGGAACTGAATTTTTAAATACAATAATTTCCACATCATTTTTTCCCCAAATCAATAAACATACTAGAGTCACAGAACTCACCAAGTCAATTTTAGACAATATAATAACAAATATACAAAACGTTGAAAGTAAAGCAGGAGTTGTATGCTCTGATATCACAGATCATTATCCTGTTACTTATTATATGAAACTGAATAAAGGTGCACCATATCCATGTACAAGGAGAAAAGTAAAAGTCATAAACAATCAAACCCTTGCTGCTTTGATGCAACATCTCCAAACGAAAAACTGGGATCCAGTGTTTAACACCACTGATCCTGACGATGCATATAATTTGTTCATATCTGAAGTTACTAATTCCATCAACGTAACTATCCCTGAAAAAAATATTAAACAGAATAGTATACAACCTAAGCCTTGGATAACAAAGGGGATTTTAAAGTCAATACAGAAGAAAAATAAATTGTATGATCGGTATGCAAAAAATCGGAGCACACAAAATAAAAGTATGTATACAAAATATAACAATATTTTAACAAAAGTAAAGAGAGCAAGTAGGCGAAACTACTTCACTGGGAAATTTAATCATGCTCTTGGTGATCAAAGGAAATCCTGGAAGGTGCTAAATGAGATCCTTGGTCGTGATAATAAAACATTAGTCATCCCTGACACTGTGCAGAACCCACAAAATACAAAATCCCTACCAAATGTCTTTAATGATTACTTTACTTCAGTTGGAAAAACACTATCCGACAATATCAACCCACCAGGGGGCGCCAATTACAAACATTACTTACATGGAAATTATCCAAATTCTTTATATCTCAAACCCACCTGTGGAGAGGAAGTGTTAACCATCATAAACAAACTAAAATTGTCCAACACAGCTGGTGCTGACGGTATATGTAGCAAAATTATTAAAGCTATAGCAACTGAGATCGCCGAGCCTCTTGCTTACATTATTAATCTTTCCCTAGTAAAAGGTGTAGTCCCAAAATCGTCTAAAATTGCAAAAGTAATACCCATATATAAGTCTGGGGATAAAAATGATACTCAAAACTATAGACCAATAGCTATACTACCAACTATCTCCAAAGTATTTGAAAGAGTTGTGTATTCCAGACTTAGCAATTATTTAGAAAAATACAAAACAATAGTACCCTCGCAATATGGCTTTAGAAAAAACAGCACCACTTGTATGGCGATATTAGATTTAATCGAAAAAATCAATGATGCGTTTGAAAAAGGAGAGTATGGTATAGGTGTCTTTCTTGACCTGTCGAAGGCTTTCGACACCATTGACCACGAGATTCTGCTCAGCAAGTTACTGCACTACGGTATCAGGGGAGTCGCTCTTCAGTGGTTCAGAAGTTATATCTGTGGAAGACAGCAGTATGTTCATGTGGACGGGCTGAACTCTGATACTAAAATCTTAGAAACTGGCGTCGCCCAAGGATCTATTATGGGACCACTTCTATTTATAATGTATATAAATGATTTTGTATTCTGCACTAACGACTTGCACAAAGTACTCTTTGCTGACGATACAAACCTCTTTACAGCTCATAAAAATATGAAAGAATTAGAAAAACAACTAAATTACCAATTAGGAAAAGTAGCTTTATGGTTCAAATTAAATAAACTGTCCTTAAATGTCAGTAAAACATTTTTTATAATATTCCACCCAATCAAACATAGATATAAAGATGGTAATGTAAACATCAAAATGGACGGAAAGGCTGTCCAAAGAGTTGATTCAACCAAATTCTTAGGAATTTATATAGATGAATCCCTAAAATTTACAAAACACATTGAAGAACTGGAGAAAAAATTATCCAAATACGTAGGTTTATTTTATAAATTAAGACATCAACTTCCTTTAGAGGCAATGTTAACACTGTACAGATCTCTATTTGAACCACATTTAAATTATTGTAATGTGATCTGGAACAACACCTATCCTACTTACACCGCAACACTCCAGATATTACAAAAGAAAGCTATACGAGCTATTACATGGTCCACATTTTATGCTCCTTCAGACCCTCTCTTCCACAGATATGGCCTCTTAAAACTTGCTGAAATTAACTTGTATCAAAACGCTTGTCTAATATTTAGTGTTGTCCACAAATTAAATCCCAGACTCTGTGAGCTCATCCCTCTGACCACAGCCTCACACCAACACGACACAAGAGAGAAATACAAACTAAGAGGGAAAAACAGAAGACTAAAATCTACCAACTTTAGTATCTGCTGCAAGGGCCCTCGTATCTGGCATGAGCTCGACGAGGACATCAAGCAGTCTCTGTCATTAGCCATGTTTAAAAGAAATATCAGACGGTGGCTCTTAGGACGCTACTGTTCTGCCTGACTAAAACGGTAGTCTCTCCTGGGCTCCACTGATCTCCTTGTACTAAGGGAAGGGAAAGCACACATAAACGGTAAATAGAAAACAATAGTGGTGATAACACCTTATAAAATAAAAATAAATTTACAAAACAGTATTAACTATGAATATACCATTGAATTTCATAGAAACAACGATACCATGTATGACACAAACACGATCTCTGAAGGTGGGTGTGGGTGTGTGTGTGTGTGTGTGAGCGTGTGTGTATATATGTATTTTTTCATTTCTCTCCTAATTTTCCTATCTCAAATTTAACAAATCTGTTTTTGTTTGACTTTGTATTTTTGGACCCCGTACATAAGCTTGTGTAGCTTCCTAGGGTGTCCATTTCTTTTTCCCAGTGTCACAAAATTAGTTACAAACTCAATGTATGAACATGTTGTTAAAAAAAAGAAAAAAGTAAGAGATTTGACAGTTTGACATAAACCAAATTGTAATGGATGGGCATCTGGTCAGAGTATCCCAAAAACTGCAGCTCTTTTAGAATATTCTTGGTCTGCAGCCTTTGCTCATTTATCACAAGTGGCCGTTGGACGACAGAAGTGACAGGAGATGCACATGTAGCAAAATGTCCTGCAGAAAAGGTGGCTGCGTTTGAAGACCTTTTTTTGGAATTGTTTTGTGTTGGAACGGCCAATAACATGTGGTAAAACCTGAAAAATTGTTTCGGAGATAGAAAAAAAAAATCATACACAATGATATTTAAAATCCAACTCTCATATATCATAGAACAATTTTATAATGCGTGGTATTGCTGTAATTTCCCAGTTTTTTACCATGAAAGTACACAGTGTAACAACCAGAATCTTTTTTTGTGGTTAGTTACTGTTTGCAATGCATTATGGGATTTCTTTAGCTTTATGATAACTTCACAGATGTTTCTATACAGTAGTTGTGGTAAGTTACCGCAAATAAGATAGGAGAACCTTGATCCCCAGTTAAAATACCAGAATGTGTCTTTCTGAGTAGTTACTGTCTAATGCAATGTTTTAAAATATTTGCATAATTTTTTTAACCAGATTGTATTCAAAGTTGTAAATTACAGCTTATTTATCAAATGTTGGTACGAAACACTGCTAGTTCTTCCTGTAATTTACAAGTATTATTGCTGTAATTTCCCATTATATACTAATTCGAATGTTATTTTTTCTTGTTATGGAGTTTTTCTATTCTCTCTTTGTGTGCGATGTGTGCTCCTCATTCCTACTCTTCTGTAACTTGTGATGCAACTCACTTTAGTACAAATAAAATATCTTTTCATCGTAATCTTTGGAAGCTCAAATCAAACAATCATCATTATGGAAAACATCATAAAATGCACTGAAACCGTTATTGTAATTACTGAGACCGGCTGCATCATGACCAAGCCTCATTTGAGATTTACCAACTCAATAACCAAGGTTTGCTTGTGTACAAAAGGCTGCATGTGTGTGTGCGCGCTGCCCGGTCGGTGCCGAGTCTTATCACCAGCAAAACATTATTAATTATGCATTGGTGTGGAGAACCGATGGCCCGACATAAGAACTATTCGGAGGCAAACACTGATGCAGCTTTTACTCTCTGTTAAAAGCACAAGAACTCTGCATCACCCCCTGCATCCACCGCTCT